GCATAACAGGTCGGTCTCAGGTACAGGCTGTTCTCGAAGAAGGGATACGAGAAACAGGTTCTCATTTATTCTTACCCTCCTCGTGGTCGCGACACTTGTCCCCGTGTTAGAACCTAGCTCCACGTTCCCCTTTCCCGGCTTACGATCCTCTCTCCGTCCATTTGCACGGCCATTGTTTGGCGATGTGTTAACCTTAAGCGATTTCTGACTTTGTCTTTCCGTTGCCTGGGCCAACCACTGGCACTGGCCTTTAGGCTCTATTGTTGGGTTTCTGACTTTTCTGAGTCTCTTTGCCACTCTTTGGCGGTTGATTCTGATTTTGATATAAAAATACTCGATAGTCGGCCAGACAATAGTTTTAGTTGTTTCTGTTGAAGCTGACTGTGGGAACGCCGCGAATCCTGGCCCAGGACAAAGACGTGTTCTGATATTCATCTGCAAAGCAGCGGGACCCCGCAATGCACAGCAAAGATGCAGGTTGTCTTTGGTTACCATAGGATCCTGGGAAAAGAACCTTCCAGCTGGCTCATGACCCTCGTCCGAGGTCTGGGTGGGTCAGAGTGAGGCGCACCCAAAACACACGCACAAACACTAACACCTAAACACACTATTTATGGACTTCCGTTCGCGGGATGGCGGAAAAGCTACACGGTTCATTTTATTCGCGCCGAATGTGAAGACCGGGCGCTCCCTCTGCCGCCCTCATTACGCACGAAGCCAGCTCTCTAGACGTTGCATTTGTACGCATAAGCAACGCCAAGCGAAACTCGTGTCAATGACCCGGACGGGTGATGATAAACATGCCAACATCCAGAGAGTCCCAGAGAACTAGAGAGGGAAGCGCTTCAATGAAATGTTGCAATTGCAATCCAAAAGATATCTGATACACAAATTTAGCTGGCGGGTTGCGCTTGCGCCCGCCCGCATCTTTGTCAATAAAGAAAAATTGATTGAGAAATTGTGAAAATTTAATTGGAAATGGCCTAGTGTTTGGCTGTGATAGAGAGGGAGCGAGGTCAGGGAGTGGACGAGCGGTGTGGATGGTGAAAGTCTGACAATTAAACGCCAAACAAATTTCCGCCAATTATGTGACATTAACTATGAGTCCTCGGAAGATGAGGGTCAGCGGTCATGGGATCCGCGAAATGCAAGGATGCATTGTATAGTCGTTCCTTGGAGCTCCTGGCTACAGGAAGGGTAGGAAAGTTAGAAAGGGTTCAACCTTCCAGCATTTGTGGCTTATCAACATAAAATCCGGTGGTGGGGCAGGGGAATGCTGCTGCTATCGGATCTCTCATGAATCTTAATCAATACTTGCACTTCGATCCTTTTACATAAGAACACCAATCCCAATGCATTTTCCTGCCTCTCTCATTGAATATATTCGTGAATAAATCTGTCAAGCGTTTCTTAGGTGTTTGGGTGCCCACGAAAATGCCTCACAAGTCATTGACTCTGGAAAGGTACGTATCTATCTGCATGCGGCGCGATGGCCATGGCCGTTGACGCTGGCGGCCCAGAACGCCAATCGACCAAAACGCTGGCCATGCTTCTGCCCCCGCCCATGGCCTACCCATGCCCCACCCCGCCCTCTAAGAGGTCTAGTCCACCAATTAAGCCATGAGACCAAACTGAAGCTGAGCTCAAGCTGCCACAAAATGCAATCAAAGAAGGTTGGAGGAAAGCAAAAACCTCAAAATGAAACATTTTTCAAAAACCTAGAGAAGAAAAACGCATTACACGATGAAGAAAATCGGGTTTTGGACGGGCTACCTGTGCCGGTTTGGTCCCGGGGCCCCAAGAGAGGCCGCAAAAAAGAAACCAACAGCAATAGGAAAACAAAAAACTAACATCAGAGTCAGGAGAGAGTCGTGAAAATGTTTTTCTTAGCTGAATCCCAGAGCAGAGCTCTTCCGATGCAGCATCATCAACACAGTCAGAGACAGCCGAACAGATTTCGTATCGCGCTAGCTGGGGATTACACAATTTATGCATTTGCTTTGGACTGACCCCGGCGGACCCTTACCCTTCGATCGAGGGCCGCAATCGATACGGAGTAGTGTCTGCGCGTCTTTATGGGTTGACATCTTGTAGGCGTGCTGAATCGCGGAGGGAGATTGGATTGGAGCGAGAGATGGAGTTTGGAATCGAAATTTATTTGGGACGGGACTGGACTGGCACTGGTATTGGAATTGGGCTGCACAAATGTGCAGCGATCTGCAGCGGGAGATAAAGAAAAAAGTCGAGACCAAACCTGTTTTATGGCCAAAAAACGATCGAAAATAAATGAATAAAACGACAAAATGAAATGTATAAACGTAAATCTCACAGCAGGTAGTCCCCGGATGATGCACATGGAGATCCCTTGGACTTGACTTGGCAATGGCAATGGCGACCTGCAACATTACGTTTGATGGTGACTTTTCGTGTTGGCTTTGGGCGTCGTCGCCGGCGATAATAAATTTCTCAATTTTTCCTTGCTCGATTTGGTTCTCCGCAGTCGCGTTTGCTGCAGATTGCAGCTCCTGATTATCCTGTCTGCACATTTTAAGAATTTCTTATATACAACTGCGCACTCAGCTGCAAGTGAATGAATACCCGATCAGCAGCAGGAGGTGGAGGAGGAGAAGGGTTCAAATTTCTGCGCTTGGTTGTCTGCGTGGGCGATCTGCTTTCAATTTTTTCCCAATTTCCCATGGCAAAAAGGGTTGTCTTTGATTGCACGAGATTGATTGATTCTGGCCGATGGATGCACTTGCGTGGAAAGGCAAACATTTGCATCATCTGCCCCTCCTCCAGTCTACGTCGAGGGTGGAGTAGAACTGGGAGTGGGAATCTGAGTTATAGTTCTGCGGTTAAAAGTGTGTGAAAATACTTTTCGCGAGCACCAGCAGAAAATGCTTGCCGTTTTTCCAATTGAGTTTTCCGCCTTTTTTATTTGGGAGATTGCCAATTGGCAGAGCTGCGGGTCAAAGGTTGCTTATCTGAGAAACATTAAAAAATTGTGACCACTGGCAAAAGCGGGCGCTGGCTGAGACTTTTCATTGAATTTCAATGCATTATCCGCAGATCGACTGGAGACTGATAGGCAACTTGGGTATCTGCAGATATGTACTTTCCTTTCCCCATGCCCATTTCTCAGCGTGTGTATTCGTTGCGTCGGCAGCAGAGTGCACTCAAATAGTTATCGCAAACAACGGCAGAAATAACAACAATATCTATCCGAAAAATGCGTAGACACCGAAAAAGTTCATTGACTTTCGCATACAAAATACAAAAACAAGATGACTACGGCAACAACAAGATCTTTTTAGTGCGTTTATTGCTGCTGTCTGCCTCCATCAGCGGCAGCAGCAACAACAAAAATAAATATGGCCGCCCCAACAGCGTGCACAAAAGAGCAAACTCCAAGAGAGTGCAACAGCAGCAGCACCAACAACAAATTATATTAAAGTGAAAATGAGCGATAACAACGCAAGCACAAACACATGCAAGCCTCTAGCAGATACATCCACACATACACTTGCGCTCATGACACAGCGCCACCAGAAACAGTAAACAACAGAGAAGCAACAACGGCTCCCCTCACAGCCCTCTTCCGCCGACACTATTTCCCGCTGGCCTCATCTTTGGGATCATTGGGAAAACTGCTTGGCCCGTGCAGCCAGTTTTTTCGTTTTTTGCTTTGGGACGATCGTGCAAGTGCTGATGAGAGGAAACATTATATTTAATAAATAGTTTATTTAATTTTAGTTTTTGCCGCCTCTTTAGCTCAGAGCTGCCAGAACTACAGATCTAAAACGGGCTAAATGGCAAATTATAGCTGTGGAAAAATTTGAGTATTGCTGAAAAGGATTACATTTCCCATTAATATGACGGCAAGCCTAATTAATTAAATATGTATAATTAACCCGACCAGTATTCAATCGTAATCAGCAGCGCCAGAAAGCAGCTTACATGTTTTAAAGGAAAGTTGCGAAATATATTAAAACTATTTACCCAAATGTATGCTATGAAATATCGATATGCTTCGGAGCAGCCCAAAAGTATATTTTGCATGTGCTACATGTAAAATTTAAAAATTAGCCAAGTTTTTAACCCAAAATAGCCAAAAAAAATGCCAAACGTTTTTGTTTTTTGTTTATGGTCTACTTTTTTTTGCAGTATTTTTGTTCTGTTTTTCAAGTAAAATTTTTTTAATTTTCATATGGTATTTTTTCAACATTTAATAGAGAAAAAAACAACAAATAAGCTGTAATTAAAAGCTCAATTAAAAGCTCTTCTTAAATTTTTACCAGTTAAATATTTAATTAATGCTAGCTAAATTTAAAAAAAAATCAAAACAATTTTAAAATGTAATTTTTACTGTAAAACTGTGGAAAAAAAGATTTCTTTAAGAAAAAAAAAAGAAAGTCCGTGCACGCTTCGAGCCGAGGACCCCCGGATCGGAAGGTCTCGACTTAACTCACCGAACCACGCTTTGCTTGATTTTGCTGTGCATAATGCAGCATTTATTCAAAAATGGCGCAAATAAAAAGAATTTCTTTAGAAAAAAAAGGTCATCTAGCCCAGCGTTTGAGCCGAGGGACCCTGGATAGAGCGACTTGACTTATCCCACTAGACCACATGCTGGAAAAGAGCATCGCAGCTTCATCGTCCTAAAATTTAAACATCTCGGATCCTATACACACATATATATGTACGTATGTATGTACAACCATATGTACAGGTAAATACATAATTTAAACATTTAGAAAAATCACCAGCACCACAAAATCGCACGTAAATGAATTTTTGCTGCATATTGCTAAAGCAAATGGAATAATTCTCTGAATTAATGGGGCAAATGCCATAGCAAAGGAGTGACGAAAGGTGTAATAGTACAATCGCACTCTCACATTGTAGCAACCGTGCTTCGGCAACCGTGGTCCCTCGGGATCACATGACTGTAGCTTCCATGTGATTAGGGAATAATAATAAAAGCACTGAATCGATGGAAATATGTTTAAACTAAGCTTTAATGTACAAACAAATCTGATTCCCTAGATGGAGTGCACTTGAAGATCACTACAATTTTGTTTATTCATACAGAAGGTGCAGAAGAGACTGGCTCAAAGATCCTCCTTTGATGACTCCTTTTCGGGCGTTACTTTGGTTAGGTTGTGGACACGAAAGGCTTCCAGAATGTTCAACTTTTGCTGCAGCTCCAGCTTCTTGGCGGCGGTCACTTTTCCAGCTTTGAGGCGCAACAGTCGTTTTGTCTCCTCCTCGAGGAAATCGTATCCGTTCTCATGGATCTTCCGCATGTACAACACGTAATATTTGCCACTCCCACTCCCTTGCTGGGCCTCCAGTTTCTCAATCAAGCTAAGCTGAGCTTCGTCCGGTAGGTTTGCGTAGTTTTTGATGGCATCGTTAAATTCCTTTAGGCAACCATCGCGACCGATATACAGGGGGGTGTTGCTGCTGACAAAGGCCTTTAGATTGTCCAGTGTGACCTCCAAGTGACTGGGGAACTTAACGAACTGCTCCACACTGCCCTTGAAGAGGAGTATGGCCGGAAACTTCTTTTCGTCAACCTCAAATCGCTCACCCAGTGCTTTGTTTTCCAGTTCACCATAGTCCTTGATCCCAACAGTGGCCACCAGCAGCTCTCCAGTTACCTTGTGGGCTGCCGTGGAGAAGGCAGCAAATGCTTCGTGCTTCTCCCCGTATGGAAACGCAATGTCAAACTTGACCACAGCAAACGGAAAGCGCTCGACGGTATTCTGAAAGTTGATTTCGTCCAAGTCCACACAGCCGGCACACGAGATTGCCCACGTAGCATGCCGCGCCACAAGTGCCGCCAGTAGCAGTGTCACCAGTATTCTCATCATTGTCTTTGCAAAAATGGATCTCTTGCTCCAGAACACCTATGAACTTGACCTTTCTTCTTCCGGCCCTCTTTGCGAACTGATTGCGGGTGGAAGCGAGAGCAAAGTCGAGGTAAATTCAAGACGGAGTGTTTTCTCCTCTTACCTCTTCGTCTTTTTTCGCTGCGCTCAACAGATATTCTTTAGTTGCTATAGCCACGCGGGCCTCTTCACGCTTCGCTCACCTGTGTGGCTCTCAGCGTCGACTTCTGGTTCTCGATCGAGTTGAATGACACGTCAGTAAAGCAATCCTCTCTTACACTCACTCAAAACCGGCTGAGCCGAGTCTCTGTCGGCCAACTCTTGGTGTTGGTTCAGCTGTTTCGGCGGCTGTATTGCTCTAATGGAGATTTATGTTGTAATGTTAGATTTTCTTCGTTTGCTCGTTGCTTTTGAGTGCTCCACACAAATCTAGAAATAATTGACATCCAAAAATTGTTGATAGAAAACTCATTTCAATAATATTGATCATTTGCCCAATAGAGCGTGCCAGTGACCCATACTAATTAGACATTATAGAAGGCCATAATGACAGTACAGATGGGAGAAGCCGAAATGGTCATTTGCAATTGTCGGTCGTGTAGGGCCTTTTTTGGAAGGCCGATTCACAGATGTATGTACGTTACCTCTACCAAATACATACTTCCCCAGGAACGTGAGGATACGGTCTGTCGATCGGACTCAAAATATACTAAAATTTTTGCAAATTTAATAAGGATCTATTAATTATAAGGATAGTCAAGATACAGCATAAAAGCAGTACCTTAATGATTTTAAATTTTTCGTGTTGCTATGTGTCGGGAAAGTAGGGCCACTGTCTATCAGAATTAACGAATTAGGATTATATGGTTATAAATACGCAGCAAATGGTTCACCCCGTAAAAAGAAACGAAAACACCTGCATGTAGATGGAAAAACTAACCCCGTTTGCCATAATTTTCATTAGCCAGCAATTGAAATTTTTCGTGGCCTCCCTCTCCTACTCCCCCAGATGGTTAATGGACATTTTCGGCAATTGTCGATTAATAATTCATGTGTGCGGCACACATGTCGGATACCTCAGCTCTCCCCACCCGCCATCGCTCCACCTACTGCTTCTGTCCCGCCTCCTAGCAAGCTAGAATAGTTGGTTTAGTTTTTTCATTTGCGGTTTCGTTTGTCCACTCTACGGAAAATTGAACATCACGGCACGCAATTTGGAAAGGAAAAGCATTGCGAGCTTCACACGATCGATACGGGCGACTGGTAAATTATCTTTTTAGATGGGCGGGCGTGTGCCTAGATGGAATGGAAAGGGAAGAGGTATGGTAAGGGTAGGAGTTGGTGTAGGGGTGGAGTTGTGTCAGTCCAGCTCAGGTGCAAAGAAAGCCCCACTGCTAGCAATGCGCGATTTCGGGATGTAGTATGTAGTATGGGGTAATGGTAATGCGTAGTGGAGATCCAATAATGGGGACTGACATGCGTGTGTCCACCGCACAAAGGTCCAAAATTACCTGCTGGTTGGGGCTTTATTGACCCAACTCTGTTTGATATGGTGACCTCTTTAGCAACGCGAAAAATGAAGTCCAAGTTCGGGCTGTAGTACGAGTATGTGTACACAGTTCATTGCGTAGTTTTCCGAGCACTCTCTCTTTGCACTTCATTCATTATGCAATACTGGGCCAAGCAATTTGTTAAGTACACCCGCTCTGAGAACCTTCGATAGCGACTGTACAATAAGACAGTCCTTCAATTAGCTGCCGTGACGAGCCTTTTATTTTTAACACCTTTCCACCCAGGGCCATACGTCACCGCTATCCTTCGCTCAAGTTAAATACAATATTAAAATCCAAAATCAAACTCATATTGGCTTCCGGGCAGCCAACCTCTGCTTTAAAAATATAAATAACAATTTAAATATAGATAAATCGTAGTTTTAATGGAGGTGGCACAGCTATTATAGTATAGTCGAAGTTGGAGGTGAGTTCTTCACAAACCAATGCCGAAGGACCTTCAACGGACCTCCGTGGCGCTGATAGAGGAAACCTTCAGGGTTTTCCGAGCTGAGAACTAATACTCGTACTCGTATGAAGCATTAATAATATAAATTGTGCGCTATTACGTTGTTTGGGTTCGGGGTTGGCGTTGGTGCTTGGGCTGGGTTGGGGCCGAATAACACAATGACCTTTACGCGAAACGACCAACGTGTCTCCCACAAGGTGCACGGCGACCAACCGACATTAAAGTGATAAGCGCGCAAATTTCAGGACATGGAACGCCCGCAATCTTCGTGGGGAAATCTAACGATTGCCGCATTGTTTTTTATGGGCCACATCTATTGGGTTCGGGACAACAGCCAATACAAAAAGCTAATCGTCCCCTGTCAGAGGGAGGTCCGGTCTGGACATGTGCTCCATTTGCATACCCACTGCCGAAGGAGTATACTAGGCAAGTGAAATGCGGTCCCTTGATATACATACTCGCAAAGTAGTCAGAAGGGTTCACAGGTAATTTTATAGTGGTGCTACTACTGATAGATCGTGGTGGTGTATCCATCAGTTTGACAAAAATGCCATACTTTCGAAATTGCTTTCTTTTTTGGCAGCCTGTCTAATTATGTGGACTACATTGAACGAATACCATGAATTTTTTATGGCACACGTATGCCAAAGACATGCAATGCTTGAGGCAACCGACAATTTGGATAGAAAATAGATGGAGTTCAAGGAGTGGGGCTCGCAACTTGCGTAAGAGCCCACAACATTTCCAACAATGAAATTTTTTTGGTTTTGTTGTAAACTTTTCAGTGGGTTGTTGGTCGACAGTCGGGGACCAGAGCATTTGTAACGCTGAAGCTCATCAAATTTTGATGTTGTGGCATAATTTCATAAATGGGCCATCGAATGACCCACCTGAAAACAGCCATATGTTCCTTCCAACCCCACCCACACACTGAGTCCACGCGCTGGTCCAATAATTCGCATGCCCAAATCGAAACTGCCAAAGTCAAATCCTTGTCCAAGTGGTCGAATGGGGTGGGAGACTTCTCATCATAATCGGTATTTATTGAAAATGTGTTTTTGTTAACCCGTTCTGCTCATAACAATAACCTTCTTCCACGAATTGACTCCACGAGGGAGTTAACGTTGAGGGTTGGCCGAGGTAGGCCTGACTTTTGTGAGCTTGTGTGGATGTGTGTTTATTGCTTTTCATTTGCATTTATTGCCATTTAGATACGTGTGGCTATCATCCTTGGCAATTTGAGGCGTTTAGCGCAAATTTCTTTTCAATATTTGTGCACCCAATAAACGCAAATTGCTCAGACCGAGTAGAGTGGTCAGCTAAGCCTTTATCGCTCTCTGAATTTGATTGCAAATTAGGTTTCAGTTGTTTCCTTTATTTAGGCTTTTATGCGATCGACGTGCTGAGAATTCGTAAGATAGCCGTCAATGCTTTCATTTCCATCTTTCATACTAATCAGGAAATGTTCGGTTGTACTAATTAATCACTCGCATGCCTTATTATGTGTCCAGCACTAATTACGCCGTTTCAATATTTGTCCATGGAGTTGTGGGACGTCATGTGCGTACTTCCAAATCAAATATACTGTCAAAAGCCTAATGATGATTTCTTGGCCGATTGGCCAAAGGAACAGTTTACCTGGCTTTCAGAAAAATTCCATTAGAGTATGGTCTATTAATTAGCTAAAAAGAATGTGTTAAGTGGTTGTGGATGAATGACTGAATGACTGAAGGACCTGCATGAGGGGTCAATTAGCTTCGCTAGTACTGTACTTTAATAAAAGCTTCTTTTGCATACGTTCACAGAAAGTAAGCTGCTAAAGATCACCATCACCCACTCTAATATCTAGTTATTTCTCTCAATGAGCATTGAGCCCAAGTGAATTTACGCAGGGGAATTCACCGTATAACAGTTACAAATGGTATGCGCATGCGTCATCCATGTTCAGAGCGTAAGGACTTCACTTCCAATGCGTTAGGAAATTACTCGTCTCGTTCTGTCCGTGAGTTGGGGCATTTGTTTACAAACAACTGAAGAACGGGTTGAGTACAGAAAGGTGCACTATCCCTGAAGCGGGGAGCGGGAGCTGCCATGCAAATATTTTCAATAATTACATCCACTTGTTGCACAATCCCGAATGTGCATGTGTACTTCGAAGGAGCAGAAGTCGAAAAACTTGTCCATTTCATGTAGTCCATTCAAAGGCAATTACTTAACTATGTGGGTAGGGAAGGATACGTCGACAGGCAACGGGAACATGACCAGACAGACATGCAAATTGCAGTTTCATGAAAAAGAATTAGATTGCTCCCACCGCTTGGGGTGGCAGGGTAGGTGGTTCTTCGCATTTAGCATGACATTTTGCGGTCCCACTGCATTCACTTAACATTCTTTTTCGCTTTGTACGATAACACCACCCTTGCCGTTACGCCCTCTCTCCACCTTCTGGGCTGGGCTTTTGTTTTATAACATTTAAGCGCAGTCGTCATCAAATCTAATTGGCGTCGTCGCGTCGGAGTGCCTGGAATTGCCGGTCTGCATTTGATTTTTTGCACTGATTTCGATACCAACTGGGGATTAGGGACGCCAAGGCTGGACAGGGACACCGTGCTGTGCTGCTTGAATCAACGATTAGCGAATCACCAGGGCCACATAGAAGCGTTACTTAGATATTCCATTACTTTGTGAATCCTTCTGGCGTCCTGGCTTTTTCAGAAACCACTGGCCTTTGAACTAATAACAACTCGAAGAACAACAAAAACTAAAACAATGGCAACAACTTGATGCAATAATTTGCCACAACTTTTATACTGACCACAACAACATGCAATATGCAGCAGGCTCGTCAAAACAATAGCAACATGAACGAAAAACGAAATATTCGCAAGAGGATTTTTCCAGCGGGGCATTTAAAAATGCATGAGCAGAGGGCACTCAATGCGGTTATCGTGTCCCTGTATGTGGTGGCCAGTACGGGGTGCATGGGCGTTGGCATGAACATGCAGGTGCAAATTCTAGGCAACCGCAGGGGCCCCTAAGCCCAAGTGAGCCGACTGACTGACTGCCAGCCTGACAGACTGACGAATTGACGGCATGGCTCAGAAGTTGAACGCCTTTCGCTCGGCATTTTATCAGTGGGGAGCGCACTTTATATCTAAACTATGAATCAATGCATTAGTAAGTCACCTTGTACGCTCTACTTTAATTACGGTTTTTTATGCCGGTTCATTACCTTCCTCACATTCTCCGCCAACACAAGTTATACTCTATTTTATTCGTGACTTAAAAATTGCACACAAAAAAATGAAACAAAAAAAAGCGAAGCGAAATTCCTGCCCCAGGACGTAATATTATTAGCAAGGTCCACTCTCATCTCCTTTCCC